TTTTCCAACTCTGTCAATGATAGTCCAGTGCTGTACAACACCTTCTTTAGTTCCCCATAATCGGACAATTGCATAATGCCTGTTTGTTTCTGAGAACCAATGTAAGAAGCATGTATATCCATCATAGTATGCTGAAAAGATGCTGCAGTTAGTTTTGCTCAGAATACATGTGAACTGAATTTGCTATAATATTAGAAATTATAGCATTTTTCAAACTAAATATATTTAAGGATCAGTAATGCATCTTAGTGAAGTTGCTTATTAATAATTTACATACTCAAAGAACTGAACTCCTGAGTTAAAAGTTACTTGAAAGGTCACCTGGTAAAACACTAGCTTTTTAAATTTTTATTTCTCTCTCTCTTTCATATAGATAGATAGGTAGATAGATATTTGGTAAAACACCAGCTTTTAACACACATACTACCTAGGACAGATACAGTGTTGGAATTAAAACAATCGTATGGGGGCACCTGGCTGGCTCAGTCGATGAAGCATGCAACTGATCTCAGTTGGGGTCATGAGTTAGAGCACCACACTGACTTTACTTAAAAAAAATAAATAGAAAATAAAACAATGGTATGAAAAAACCTCCGAATGCTTTGAGTAATAAATTTCTTTGGCCCCAGTATGTCCAATTCTTATACACGACTGTATTTTACTAAAACTCAATCACCTGTCATCTCATTTTTTAATAATATAAACTCTCCATGACAATGTGGTAGGACTAAAATATTGGGACTTGAGAGTAGTTCCATTTCAATAAAAGTGGTCAGTATAAAATCATCTTTTAAAATATTCAGACCATGCCATCCAGATATCCACATGCACTTGGATTTATAAGCATTAAAGAACTTGTTTCGATTTACTGAAGCTATACCTGCTGTCAAGAAACAAAAAAGTTGTGAAGGTTGATCAAAAACAACTTTGCCTCAACTATCATGTTAATGTTTTCCACTAACGCTGTCCTAAAAGTTAACAGTCAATGCAATGCAAAGGTTTCTCTTTATTTCTATATTTAAATCATCACAGGTTTGATCAAGCATGCAAATCCCTTTAGGCTCAGGGTTCCCATCAAAATGTCTTATAGGAACATTAAAAATTGAGTGGGCATAAACAACTCCAACAGTGCGGAGCTCATGACAGCATTGCTGTGATCTTTGTGTTTCATGTGCAACAAAACTGGAGAAGTTTGCAAGGGAATAGAAGCAACTAATTACTGTCTTTTGCTTGAGGGCAGGTGTGCTGATCTCTACAGGTGTCTGGACTGCAGCACTCAGCCTACTGCACTGCCTCTTAAAGACATTCACTGTAACAACTTGCTGAAGCCCTGCAAAATACCTCCTAGAATACCACACTGTTGGGTGTTCAGGAAGAAACATGTTATGACTTCTTAAAGATACCAGGAAGGAGAAAGCAGTTGGAGAGGCTTTAGCAGTTTATGAAAGAATAGTATAAGACAGTATAAAAAGTAAATAATATCAGATTTTATCTATCAAGTGCACACATTAAACAAAGATACCAATTTGTCTTAAGGAGTACAGAAAGTTTTTCAATGAAAAGTGTTACTTTCTAAATAGGAAATAAAAAAGAAAAAACTAAATAATAATGCCACGTTGATCCATCTTTTTTCATTCGTGAAAGACAGTGACCAATGCTGGGTATGCAATTTAGGAAGGACCAAAACACGATCTTAGAGATTATCCACTATGGGAACTTAGCAAACAAAATAGTTTTTAGCAAACAAAATAGCTGATGATAGGGAGGTAAGTATACCATAAACATGAGATGCCATTTATAGGATTAATGTTCCTTAAGATCTTTCCCATAATTGTTGGAAAGAAGTATGCTTAATAATGAAGAAACATATAAACCAGAGACAAACATCCCCCGCTTTGCTACTTGCTACCCACGTGATCTTGCACAAGAAACTTAGCCTTTCTGTGCCCCAATTTCCTCATCTCATGATAAAAAAGACCTACCTCATCAAGGATGAGTGTCAAGTCTAACATTCTTAGGCAATGAAACTGCTCAGAATAATTCCTATAAATGATAATATAAGGTTTTTACCAATTATTTTCATCCATAATTCCAGTGTTTTTCTTTAACCAAATGAAATCAAGACAGTATTTCAAATCACCATTAATACTATAAGCATCAACTGTGTAACCAAAACATCACGGGTCTTTAAGAAAAAATAACAAAAGCAAGAGTTAAAAATGTTTCAGACTATTCTCAAAGGAACCAAAAGGCAAGAAAATTTGAAAGCAAAATGTGTACAAAGTACACAAAAACAACATAGTATTTCCAAAATTAAGAATGATTAGGCCCATGGGAATGATCGGAATATAACCGAAGAAATATCCCTCCCACTTGAGTAGACTATTACATCAGACTCTTATTTCTTCATATCTGGACAATGCGATAATCTTCTATTCTCTCTTCCTTTTTAATTTCTCTTCCTCCTATTCATCCTCCAGTTTTCAATGCCGTCCCAACCACCATGAATGTTAAGAACTGACCTGCTGAGCTTTCTTTAACAGAGACCTAATTATCTCGCTCTGCTACCCACAGATCTATTGTAGGGGAGGTGGTAGGCACATAGATAATTAAAGAGGTGTGTGTGTGTATGTGCATGAGTATGCACATACACATATATGCATGTGTGTGCATGCACAAAGTACTAAGAGAGGACAAAACATAGGTGGATTCATTTTGCCTACGATAAGTCAAGGAAGGCTTCATACAGCTAACAATAGCTGGGTGAAATAGTGCCTACCGGGCGCCTGGGTGGCTCAGTCGTTGAGCGTCTACCTTCGGCTCAGGTCATGATCCCAGGGCCCTGGGATCAAGCCCCACATCGGGCTCCCTGCTCTGTGGGGAGCCTGCTTCTCCTTCTCCCTCACTTGTGCTCTCTAGCTCTCTCTCTGTATCTCTCCAATAAATAAATAAAATCTTTAAAAAAAAAAAAAAAAGAAATAGTGCCTACAAAATAAATTCAAAGCTCCAGGCAATGAGCATCCATTACTGAGCCTCAATCTACATTATACCAACTGTGTACCACACTCTCCTCACATGGATCTAGATGTCCTCATTCTCTAAACACAGTGGACACTCTGCTGTCACCTGGCCTATGGCCTCTGCCTCGAATTCCTTTTTCATCTTCCCCATCTTTAAAGTTTTACAAACACGATACCCATATATACCCATGCATTCCACTTCTACTTATGTTTTAAGAGGGGACCGGGGAGAGGAAAAGGGAGAGTGAGAGAAAGAATCTTAAGCAGGCTGCACGCCCAGCACAGAGCCTGAGACACAGGGTTCAATGTCACAACCCTGAGATCATGACCTGAGCCGAAATCAAGAGTCAGACACTTAACCAACTGAGACACCCAGGTGCCCCTCTACTTATTTTTTTTTTTAGACAGTTAAAAATCAATGGCATCCCAGGGCGCCTGGGTGGCTCAGTCGGTTAAGCGTCTGCCTTTGGCTCAGGTCATGATCCCAGAGTCCCCGGAAGAAGCCCCACATGGGGCTCCCTGCTCAGCAGAGAGCCTCCTTCTCCCTCTCCCTCTGCTGCTCCCCTGCTTGTGCTCTCACTCTCTCTCTGCCAAATAAATAAAATATTAAAAAAAAAAAAAATCAATGGCATCCCAACCATCATGAATGTTCAGAATTGAGAAAGACAAAGTTAATTCCTTCAAAAATTCTGAAGGAGAGGGATTTGCAATATAAAATGTAATCATTCAGACAAAAATATCAATCAAGTGAGAAAATTGAAAAAAGATATTTTTCTCTCACATAATCTTTCTCAGGAAACTACTCCAGGATATATAGCACAACAATATAAGATTAAGACAAGAAAGAAAACAATATGAGATTCAGGAAAAGCTAAAGGGAGTGCCTAGTTTAACAGCAAAGAAAAAGCTCAGGAAGAGAGCAGATCTAGAAAATGAGATAGAAGGAGAACAGAAATCTCCTGGAAGAATATATTCAAGAAAAAAATTGAAAGAAAGTATCTGATGTGCTTCATTTTATGGCAAATCAGAGTAAGAAGCTCCTAGAAGATATAGAAAGAAATAACAGTGACAAAGAAATTACACAGGAAAAAACAAGGCATTAGTAACTTCACAAAAAACAAAAAAATCAGAAGTGAACTTTTTCATCAGAGCACATTACAATGTTCAGTTATAAATATCAGCATGGTATAATAATGTAACACTAAAAATAAGTTAGCCAAAAGTTGTAACCTAACAATATTGGGAATATGCAGAAAAGACATGGCAGTATAAAGGTGAAAAATCATCCTCAAAGACCATAATATAAAGTCAACAAACCATATCTAAAATAAATGAATCAAAAGGTAGCAATGTGTGTGTATGTAATGTAGCAATATGCAGAAGCAGGGGCGCCTGGGTGGTTCAGTCATTAAGCATCTGCCTTCGGCTCAGGTCATGATCCCAGGGTCCTGGGATCGAGCCCCGCATCGGGCTCCCTGCTCCATGGGAAGCCTGCTTCTCCCTCTCCCTCTCCCACTCTCCTTGCTTGTGTTCCCTCTCTCGCTGTGTCTCTCTCTCTCAAATCAATAAATAAGAGCTAAAAAAAGAAACAGATGAAGGGTTAAAAATGGTTGCCTCTAGAGAAGAGGACTAGAAAGAATGGGTAAGAAACCACTGTATTTTCTAATAGGCCTTTTACAACACTTAGAATTTTAGACTAGGCAAATGTTATTAGTTTGACAAAATAAGAATTTAAAAGAAAGAATCAGCCATGTTCACAAGAATATTTTTGACAGTGTTTTTCATAATAGTAAAAGGCAGAAAGAATCTAAGTCTTCAATAATAAGTGACTGGTTAAATAAATTACATTATATCTATACAGTAGTTAAATGACTAGTCATTTAAAATTATGGTGCAGAAAAATATTTAATGACATGGAGAAATGTTCAAAATGAAAAATGACAATTCAAAATACAGTTAAAAAATTAAAAAATGGAATACCAGGGGCGCCTTGGTGGCTCAGTTGGTTAAGCGTCTGCCTTCAGCTCAGGTCATGATCCCGGGGGTCCTGGGGCCAAGCCAGCATCGGGCTCCCTGCTCGGCCGGGAGGGAGCCTGCTTCTCCGTCTCCCTCTGCTGCTCCCCCTGCTTGTGTTCTCTCCCTCTCTCTCTCAAATAAATAGGTGAGATCTTAAATAAATAATAAAATAAAATAGAATAAAAAATGGAATACCTATGAAAATATTAATGGTAATTTTAGAATTTTTTTTCTCAATGCTTCTCTGATTTTCCAAATTTTCTAAAGTAAATAGCAACTTTGTAAATGGAAAAAAAAAAAACCCACAAGTATAAATTTTAAAATAACTCATCATTCCATTTTAAATAATGTCACTTCATGACGTCTCCCCTGAATTAATCTTTCCCTCCCCCTGCATTTTCTATGTGCCACCATTAGAACGTTAATGCAATCTGATTTGTAACACAGGTAATTACTTGTCTGTTCTCCCATTGGATTTAACCTGCTGACGAGAGGACCATGTGTAAGCCATCACAATACAGGTTGAGTGGAATATGCCTAGGCTTCTTAAGACAATCCCCCTAAAATGAGGAAATCCTAAAAATGGTCTGAGCATTACCTTAAAAAAACAAAAAGGATTGATGGACTAATTTTCAGAAGGATAATAATCATATAAAATATAAGTTCTCAGGTTGGTTGCTCTTACCACATTGCTGTTTATACTACCCTCTCTCACATACACTGTCTCTCAGATTGACTTTTTGACAAAAGCGTTCTGTTTTGTTTTGTTTTGTTTTTTAAATTTTTTATTGTTATGTTAATCCCCATACATTACATCGTTAGTTTTAGATGTAGTGTTCCATGATTCATTGTTTTATCTAAAGGCTTTCAGTGAGGCAGTGTTTAAATGCAGATCCTCAGGGTTCCTTAACAGATCCATATTTATCACTCCAAAATGCCAATTACTTAAGAATTTGATTAGAACATCAGTTACCCAAATGTTACTATAATAAATTAAAATTAGGATTATTTCTTTATGTGAGTATATGGTTTCCAAATTCAGCAGAAATTTAAATATGTTTGGGGGAGCAAATATGAAAAAACATTCATAAGGTTTGGCTTTTATTTAGAACTAGTTTCAAAATGACTAATAAATAAAGCAGCACAAATTCTACAAACAAAAACCTTTCTGGGCAAAACCAGAAAATTCCACTCATTCTATTATGCAAAGGATTTTTAACTCTGTCCTATATAAAGGAGTCAACATCCAGAACATTTGATAAAAAGTCATAAAGGCGTTCTAATATTTCATCCTGGTAGAACTATTTTCTCCATGAGATCAACCACTACTTTTCAGCATGCTTTTGAATAGGCTATGTATGAGTAAGAGGAGACACAAAGAACAGAATGTTATGAAGTAAAGAGCTATTTTATCCACCCTCACTCTCCCATCCCCAGAGGTCTGAACGAGAGGGCATAAGGACAAGGCAAATGGCCTTCTACAGAGCAAGGTTAAACTGTCTATTGAGTGACAACTGTGGAATAAGGAAGGAATTAAATTCTAATGACAATAGAATCTGTAGACACATTTCTTAAACTGTATCAACTTTTAAAAACAAGACTATTTTAACTACAGAAAAATAAAGGATAATTTGCTTTAAAAAATAACGTGCCAGGAGTTTATTTTGTATTTTAAGTTATATGCAATAAAGATATAGGTTATTACAGAGAGGACACAGGCAGAAAAACTTAAAACCAAAAATGTTATGAATAATACCAACTGAACTTTATTTGAGCAACTCAAAAATTGTAATGTAATAAAACATTTTACAAGAAATCAACTTACCATCAAATTTTCAAGAACATACCTTCTGCAGTAAGCAAAACACACTACTAAGAATTCCAGAAAATGCAGACCAATCTACAACAGAGAAAGCAGATCAGCAATTGCCAGGGACTTGAGATGGGGGCAGGGGGTTTGACTTCAAGAGGGCACGAGGGAACTAGACAGAAATGTTCTAAATAATAATTGTAGTTATAATTACACAGCTATATGCTTCTGTCAAAACTCAAAACACTGCCCACTTAAAATGTATAGTTCACTGTAAGTAAATTATACCTAAATAAAATTGATATAAAAAATACACTCATAACAGGTGATCATGGCTGACAATCATTCCAATTACATAAAGACTGTTTTATTGTAAGTTACTGTGTTTCTGACACACAAGGTTAAAGATACCATTAGTAAAAACTAGCTGAGTGATAGTATTAGTTTACAGTTACCAATCGTAATAACTTATTACTGACCTTGAGGCACTTCCACCCACACTGTACTCACTACATATTACTTTATACTACTGGTTATGGTTTTTTTTTTCCCCCTACTGATTTAGTGTTGAGACAAAAGAAAAGAAAGAAAAAAGAAAAAAGTAGCATCCTCCAAGATCTACCTCAATTCTTTTCATTGAAGTATTAATACACTGATTTACACCAGGAAATATTTCAGACAAGTAGTTTTTCTTTCTTAATACTAAAAAAGCAACAGTTTTTGAAAAAATATAGAACAGCTATCTTGATTTCTCACACTGTACAGTGATACTTTAGGTGATTAATAGAGAATTTTCATAATTATATTTAAACAATTATTTCATATTTGAAGAAAGTAAGATTATTTAATAGGCATTAAATACCCAATATGAACTTATAAAAAAACTACTGCATGAAAGTACATTTTTAAAGTGGAAATATGATAATTTTATTTCTTTCCAATGTTCACAGTGTTTCCATCGTATATAAATTTTACTAAAATGTTTATCAATAATGTATCAATTTTTAAAATATAACATGACCTATCTCACACTTAATAAGAGAAATTGGTTTAAGATAACTTATTTCACAAATCTTAACAAAAAAACACTTAAGCAGTTTACTATTATTTTAAAAATTAATTACACAGTAACACAGTAATCAAGACAGTGTGGTACTGGCGAAAGAACAGACAAATAGATCAAAGGAACAGAATAGACAGACCAGAAATAGACCTACACAAATATAGTCAACTGATCTTTGACAAAGGAACAAAGGCAATTCGAATAAAGATAGGTTTTTCAACAGATGGTGATGGAACAACTAGATATCTATATGCAAAAAAACTTGAATCTAGATACAGACCTTATACCATTCACATAAAATAACTCAAAACAGATCAAAGATCTAAATGCAAAATGCAAAACTATAAAACAACTAAAAGACAGTATATGAGAAAATTTAGATGACCTTGGTCTGGCCATGACTTTTTAGATACAAAACCAAAGGCACAATCATTGGGGGGGAGGGGGGTGTTGATTAAGTTGAACTTCATTAAAATTAAATACTTCTACTCTTCAAAAAACAGTCAATAAAATAAGAAGACAACCCACAAACTGGGAGGAAATATTTGCAAAAGACATATATGATAAAGGGCGCATTCAAAGTATACAAAGAAGAACTCTTAAAACTCAACAAAAAGTAAACAAACAACCCATCATAAAAGTAAGCCAAAGTTTCTCAACAAATATCTCACCAAAGATGATACACAGATGACAAGCAAATAAGCATATGAAACTGATCAATATCATATGTCATGAGGGAACTGTAAATTAAAACAACAATGAAATACCACTACACACCTCTTAGAATGGCTAAAATCCAAAACACTGACTATACCAAATACTGAAGAGGATGTGGAGCAAGAGAAACTCTCATTCATTTTCAGTGGGACTACAAAATGGTACAGCCACTTTGGAAGACTGGCAATTTCTTACAAAATGAAAATTAAACATACTCTTACCACACAATCCAGCAATCATACTCCACAGTATTCATTTAAATGAGTTGAAAACATGTCCACAAAAACCTGCACATAAATGTGTATGGCAGTATTATTCAGAATTGCCAAAACTTGGAAGTAGCCAAGATGTCCTTCAAAAGGTGACTGGATAAACAAACTGAGGTACATCACACAATGGATTACTATTCAGCACTAAAAAGAAATGAGCTCTCAAGCCATGAAAAGCCATGCTTATTGCCAAGTAAAAGAAGCCAATATGAAAAGGCTATATACTATATGATTCCAATTATATGACATTCTAGAAAAGGCAAAACTATGGAGACAGTAAAAAGACCAGCAGTTGCCAGGGGTTCTATGGGGGAGAGGGAGGGAGAGAGGCATGAAAAGGTGAATCACAGGGAAAACTGAGGACTTCTGTTAATAATGATTGTCAGTGTTGGCTCATAGATTGCAAGAAACATACCCTGGTAGGGATTTGTTGGTGGGGTAGGTTTTGGAGGTAGTAAAGACCTTTACTTTCTACTCAAATTTGCTGTGAACCTAAAACTGCTCTAAAAATTCAAGTCTATTATTTTTGTAATTAATTACATAAAAAAAAAGTTCTTTCCAAAATAAGGTCCAGATCTTTTATGTACAGTTTAATATGGAAATGTAATGCAATGGCTTTCCTGCTCATACAACCTAAAGGATCCACTTTTTCTTTAAACCATGTCAGATCCTTTCAAAAGTATCTTTCTTCAAGAGAAGTTTATGGGTTTTGCTTTTATGAGAAATTCAACAAGCTTCTCATATTGAGAAACAGTTCTTATTGTCAAAATCTTAAGTTTTACAATAACAGCTTCACTTTTACAATGATGGTTTCAAAAGATTATGCTCTCAATGCCAAGAAAGAAACATTCACCAATATGTGTCAACTCCAGGGTTTTACCATATTACACACAACTGATTTCTTCATTCAATCTCTTGGCATTTAATTGCTTTTTTTTCCCCCAATATATGAAAAAAATCATGCTTACAAGCCTCTCATTACAAAAAAGAAAGTATTAAGAAGCTAAAAGCTCAAAAGAAATGTATTAAATATTAACAAGTTTAATTTAGACATCTAATTTTAAATCTTAATATTTTCTAAGAAACCACCCCAAATTCTTAACAATGATATTTTTAAAGTTTGACTAAGAGCTGGATCATTTAAAAATCAAAATTTATAGGGGGGATGGGTAAAAGAACATAAAAAGTCAGCAACATAATCATGTTTGAGCAATGGTGTAGTCTTAAATTCTTCAAAGATATGATAATTTAGGTGATCTATAAAAAGCAAAGCCAGGACTTAAAAGTATACAAAAACTATACAGAAAAGTATACAAAAAGACATTAAAACCATCTTGGTAAGAGACTTTTATTAAAGCAGAAATTCGCTTTCAAAAAATGCAAATCAATGTTTTTTAGTAATTACATATTTTTTATTTTTATTTTTTTAGTAACTACATATTATATGTGATGTTCTGTGACACTTTCCTGCCTCCAAAGGACTTATAGTCTCAAAGAGAAGACACAATGAATACAAGAGAAATCATTATTAGTCACAAGTGATAAATGATCAGTTGAGAGAAGCATGGAAAATAAAAATTATGGTTATCTTTAGCCTTACTAATTTGGGAGAATGCAAGAAAGATAAACAATTCATTTTGGATGCAAATTGTAAGGTATTATTAATATCTGGAAAACACCTTCAGAAGTCAATGCCAAGCTGCTAATCTAAAAATTATTAGAATATGAAATGACGGATGTTAACTAAACTGATTGTGGTAATTATTTCATAATATATGTAAGTCAAGTCACCCTAAACTTCTACAGTGCTGTATATCAATTATATCTCAATAAAACTGAAAGAAGAACACATGCAAAAATCATTAGAAGAGAGGTGAAGATTAAAGACATTGGGTGAGATGAAGTCACTTAAAAAGAGAAAACTAAGCTAGAGAAAATAGACTAAAGACAGGGCTTCGGAAAAGCTAATTTTAGGAGTAGGTAGCTAAAGACTGGGGGGAGGGTTTAAAGGGGTAGGTGGACGGGGGAGGAGAGGGAGAGCTAGGACAGATGAACCAACAAAGCAGTTAAAAAACTAAGAAACATTAGAGCAGGAAGTACTGTTACATAGTCTACTCCAGAAACAAACTAAAAAAAAAACCCTAAAAGAACAAAAAATAATGAATACCTCATCATCAATGAAACAAAGTCACAGCCACAACCACAAACCACAAACTATCACCAAAAAAAAAAAAAAAAAAAAAAAAAAATTACTGTATTAGGTGATATCTGGAATCAAAATGAGGAGTAATGCTGAGAACCAAACCACACCTCCTCAGATCTCAGGCAGAAAAGAGATTTCCCTAAGGCTGGAACAGTTCTAAAGCCCAGTCAAAGAAACTCTGTTTAGGGTAATGATGTTTCAACATCTACATAGGATAAGACAGGTTTCTCCAGAAAATCATGTCTACAACGACAGAAGGACGGAGGAAAACCCAACAAGATTTTGCATTATCAATGATCAAGCTTCTTTGCTCAGACAGGCTGCCAGATGGAGATGAAAAAGAAGGGAAACAGTAATCACCAAACCACTTATTACAGACACTCCTGTGACTCACAGGACTATGGAGCCACAGTGACCTTCACAGTACTGCAAACTGAGGTGAGCCATGTCCCCGGAGCATATGACACACACATTTTTTTCAAGCAATACCTGGTCTCAATGGAACTGAACCTACTAAAAAAAGAGTAAGAAGTAAAAAGGAATCAGCAAAGAATTTATACAGAATGATCAAGGACGGATGGAAGGAAATAGGGAAATGTCAGCCAAAGAAAAGAAACTGTCTTAAGAAATAGAGGAGGTACTCACAAATTATTTTTCTACAGTCTTAAAAAAATTACAGAGAATATGAGGTACATCAAAGAAAAAAGGCTCAAAGAAAAGTATGAAATATCTAAGAAAAGATAACAAAAGAGATGAAAAGCAAATTGATAGGGTAATGAAAAACCTGGAGATTACACACACACACACACACACACACAGATTAAAGCCGTAAAAGAAA